TTACAACGCTAGAAACCGGGGCTCGATACCCGTGGTGGGCAGAGCACAGATAGCCCATTGTGCAGTTTTTTTTTTTGTTTTTTTTTTAAAAGAAACATCGGACTTGAAAATACAATGAAAGTCTTCACTACTAATGTTTTCTCAAAAACAAACATGATTGTTATTTCATTTGTCAAAAATCATAACACAGTATATGTTGACGGAGGAAAATAGTTTGGTTGCATATTTATTGTGTTCCATTTAAACATGAGATTTTCTTTTTAGTTGAAAACTTGTTTAAATATCACTAATTCTTGATGAAATGGATGAACAGTTTTCTATTTCATATTGCTGACTTCATTCTCTAATCATTACATGTCTTATGAACTGTCATTCTCAAACTTTTTCCAGATCCATAAAATTTTGATCTCCAATAGAAAGTGTTCATGTATCCCAGCGTATTGAGCAGAACATCCTATTTATTGTTTAATACTTTGTAACTAGCATGTTGTCTCATTTGTATTTTGCTTTTGTTTAAAACACTTTTCTGTGTGCAAAAAGTTTTAAGTCCATATGCATCTTAATTCACATTTTCTGGTGCATATTTGGAATTACTGGTGGTTTTAAATCCTTGTATTTTTTTCAGTTGTTGCATGTTATCATTTATTTTTACTAAAGTTTGGACATCAGATTCTGCTGTATCTTTTTTTTTTTTTCCCCACAATGTTGGACATTTCCAATGCAACAAACTTAGAAGTCTTTGCCTGTCATAGCATTTAGCATATTTAACTTAACATATGGTTATTGTTTGAGTCTCTTCATTTATGAAGTAAAATATATCAGGCAGGTTTCTCTCTCGTACAGAATAATTGCCCATGATATTCCTTTACTCATGTTGTGTTTTCAGCCAAAGTAGATAATTTTCAATGTAGATACAAGTATTTCTCATTTACAACTGATAGCCTTATGTATGTATTTATTTTTGAATACAGTTTTTTATCTTCGTCACCCTCTCAGCATATAAGGTATCCTTGTGACCTATCTATGTGTGTGTGTATCTGATAACCTCGTGGTATGCATCTCTGTATCGTAATGAAATTCTGATTTTATGAGTTTGACCTTTTAACTTATTGAATGTTTTGATAAATTAACCTTTTTTTTTGCTATTACTGGCTTTAGGTCATTATTTTTGTGGAAGTTTCTTCTGTCAATTTCTTTCCAAGACTTTAGTGACTTAAAATGGTAATTTCTTGTTTCCTTCCATCACTCTTTATTATTTGTGACCCATGCTTGTTCATTTCCATATAGACCTTAGTTTCCAGTATATAGTTTATGCTGAGTCTTTGAGATTCATGTCACTGGTTATTCGTACCTTTTTAACACTGCCAGATCTGATAACTTGCCACCTACTACCCTCATTTGTTTGCTGAAGAGCCTCCTTCTTTGCTTTCTGTATAACTTGGATGAAGATCCGCCACGTGAGTTCTCTGTAAAGTTTCTTTATATCAGACTTTTAATTATGTTCCGTGCAGCTTTTGCTGATTACTTAGTGTTGGTTGTGGTTTGAGGTGTTATGAAATCTCCTGTACAATATTTATGTATTACAACTTAAACCACAGTACTTTTTCTTCTGCTTTTAGGTTTCAGTTGCCTTCTATTGCTGTTACTTCCACTATGACCTATTAACTTCTCACTCTAATAGATTCTGCTCTTGGTATTTGACGTTGTCTCATTGAGGAATTCTTTCATTCTGTTTACAAGGTTGCCTATGTGATTTTTTGCACAGCTGACTACTAATGGATATCTTCCTGTTATAGACAGAGTCATTCTTTGTAAAGTATCCTTAAGAGCCTAATGCACTCTTTCACTAAGGTGCTGGATCTAGTGTTATTCCTCCATCGACCACTTGCTTCCATCTACATTTATCCTGTATATTATGAAAATGCTCCAGCCCCTTTGTGTTTCTAACAATTTTATAAATTTTTTGTAGTATACAGGTGGGATTTGCATCCCATCTAACTGTAGTTCACTGATAAATTACTAGATGGCTCTTAGAGTTTAATGGTCTTACACGTAGACCTGGATAAAATGATGGTGATCCCTTACTATAAGTTTTTCTTTGCATTCCTGCTTGAGAATTATGCCTCGTGATCACTTTAGTGTACATATACATTTTAACTTTTTAAAATCAAATTCAAATAGATACGACATCTCAGATGAATAAATTCTCCTTCTCCATTTCCACATATGGTCTGCTTTAGTAAAAGTGATTACTCAGACAAAAATTAAAAACGGGATTTTTCATCTTAACATGCTTAAGTATACAAATTCTCTCTGATGGCTGATAGGTTGTTTTGTAGATATCAAGATTGAGAAATTCATGAGACACATTTGGATGTTACATGTTATTAAGGGGTAGGTTAACAATTAATATGATAAGATTCAGTGTGTGTGTATGTGTGTATCACATAACTCCTCCTAAACTGCTAGTCACACCCACTTCTAAATGGTACCAAATGAATTGTCTCCGTCCCGAGATTTGCAGAAATGTAAAATTTTTCACCTCACCCCTTGGAGAAAGTGGAAATTTCCTGAAAACCCCTTCTCTTAAACTGCTGGTCTCACCAACTTCTAAGCAGTGCCAAAAAACTCGTCTTGGCCCCGAGGTTTGCATAAAGGTAAAACTTTTCACCTAACTCTTTGGGGAACCCAGGTATTTTGCAAAAATACTTTTAAGGGGTTCTCTGAAAGGAACCCCAAATTTGGCATTGATTTTACAATAGAGCACATAAATAAGTAGGCCTATTAATTACCATTCATAAGTTGGTTAAAGAAAGTAAATTAGCATTATAGTGGCAATGATCATTAAACTAAATAAGTGCAAAATAGTAGCTCAAGCATTAAATTTGCATTATAGTGGCCCTATAAATGTAGGCCATAAGCACACAGGTTTCACTAGTACTTGAAAGTAATATCTACTGTCCATCCAGAGATAAATAACTATCTTAATTTAATTGTAAAACTAGTTTTATGAGAGAATAGGTCAAATTTGGCTACTTAAATAATATTCAAATATCATTGCTGTCCACAATTTCATGTATATTTCTGTAGGCAGCTGCTGAATATTATTAGTAAATAAAAAAAAAGGTCCTTTGTGTAACTTAATTAAGCAATATTCAGTATAGATGTAATATGAAGATGTTTGAGTACTATGTCTGTTAATATTATATAGTCATTTATTCAAAACTAATTTTGTTCACTTTGTCAAATGTAGGTAAAACTGTAAACTGTTTCTTGCCTTGTAGGTTTTTCTGGTGAAAAATGGAAATCTAATGTGTTGTTGACAGCACTTCTCTGTCCAGGGTCTGTATTAGTTGTTTCTCAAGCTATAACCATGCTTTATTTCTGTCTAAGTCCTATTTATATGTGTGTTTATACATATGAATTTAAGACGTATCAAATTATAATCAATACCAGTTGTGATCCTTTGTTCACTTAGAACTAAAAAATAAGAAACTGAAATGTTTATTGAAAGATATAATTTTCATAAATTTAGATCAATAAAATAGTTAACTCTTTCTGTTAGTAGTGTATTTTTATCAACTTACAACTATTTGAGTTTGCCAAACTGAAACCGCTCATAAGAAAATGGAATCGACAATCAGTAATAATAATAAAAATATTACAATGAGAACGTTTCACGGAAAAATTTATTATGTTAAAAGTACCTCTCAGTTTTTGTTTTAATATTTATAAGGTTATTTTATAAATAATGTTATCTAAAGAAGTGTAAATTTACTTAACTTGGACTGCTGAAGTTTTAACATATTGAATATTTATTATGCTAAGTTTCATTAAATAGTTTTCAGACTGTATAAAAAATCAAGTTGTATACTTAAATATATGAATTATTGTTCTGAGAAAAGGCCCGAGTTATTTTAAAAACTCACACTTGTCTTTTTTTTTCCCCTCTAGTCTGCTGTTTGGTTTATTTTTCATCATGAACTTGATCCTGTGGGCCAAGGGAAGTTCTGCTGCCATACCATTTACCACTTTGCTTGCTTTGCTGGCTCTCTGGTTTGGCATTTCTCTGCCTCTCACTTTTGTTGGTGCTTATTTTGGTTTTAAAAAAAGGGTAAGAACTTAGTTGAAATTACCTCTGTTTCAAGGGTAGATTAGGTAACAGAATTGGAAAGCCTAATTATGTAATATTTCGATATTTTGTTATTCAGAAGTGTTTTGTACAAACGTTATTTGGTAGATTTTCTTGACAAAATGAGAAATTTAACCAAAAGAGTTTAATACAATCTTATTGAAGATCTCTCTGGTAAATAATAGTAAAAAATTTTCATTGTAGATTTTTTTTTTCAGTCGGAAAGTAAGTAAACTTAGGGCAATGTTATTTCACTGAAGATAAAATTTTGATTTGCTTGAAAACTGGAATATTTAAGTGTTTATTTGTTGGGCTGCATGTGACCCTGTGGTTAGAATTCCAGGCTGCCTATCATAGGGTGTGGGGCTCAAGATATTATGTCTCAGAGTACACTCTACACTTTCAGTTGCGGTTGCTTTATAAAAATAACAGTCAATTCTGTTACTTAGAGATGTGAAAAATCCCTGGACATCCAGATGTTTCACTTGAAAAATATAGATTATGAGATTTGTGGAAATAATTAAGAGCAGAACATATATCATGCTTAATCTTAAATTTTGTCATGCAGTAACAAGATTGAATAAAAGAATATTACAAAATTAAGTATTTTAAAGAACCAGCAGTGAGATTTGTGCCATGATGAAGTGTGACATGAGGTACACAACTTGTTCTGTCAGGCTCACTGCATGTATTTTCTTGAAATGTCTTCTTTTGCACTTCACAATCCAGGTTACTTGGTTTAAATAACTGGACAAACATTTTGTAGTGGTAGGCTCTGCTGGCTGGCTGCCTTCCCTCTAGTCAACAATTCAAAATTAGCAATAGCTCTGCTTGAACCTTAAGCACCTCTGACCTGGCTGTTTAGTTTACGTGTGCTTTGTAAAGTGCCATTTAGTTTCAAAATTACAGTTTGCCTATTTGTTCCAAAAAATTTGAATTGATGTTAAGTTTTTTGGAGTTTTCAGATTTAATCTGTAATTATTAATATTTTAATAATTGTAAATATATAAATATTAGGATTGAACATACTCTTCATACATCTTTTTTCATGTTTTTAATATGAAGATTATTATACAAAAGTTTGTCATTTTTAAAATAATAAATATAATTTTTATATTCATACTCTTGAAAAAAATTGGTACAGTGTGTTCATCCTCAAGTAGATTAGTCAAATAGCAAATAGCACTTAAAAACATTGATGTAGTTGTTAAACAAACATTTGCTAATAATGTAATGAAATTATACAAATTGGACATTAAAAATTATGTATTCTGTTGATTACCAATGTTATATTTTATTGGTAGTTTCATTTGATTTAAAATCTAAAAGGTTTAATCCCATAAAAATAATTTCTTTAGAATTTTACTTTTAAATATGAAATTTTTACATTTTATCCTTGTAGACTATTGAACACCCTGTCCGAACAAACCAGATACCAAGACAAATTCCTGAACAGTCCATCTACACCCAGCCTGTGCCAGGAATTATTATGGGGGGTATCCTTCCGTTCGGATGCATCTTCATTCAGTTGTTTTTCATTCTGAATAGTATTTGGTAAGTTTTCCATGAAGTTCATTTTGTCATTTTTAAATCTACTTATGTGCCTTTTGTCAATTGACATAGAATTGTTTTTGTACTTGATTAATATATAGTAAATTTTCTTGTATTGTTTTTTATTAAATTGTATTTTGTATTATTCTGTATACTATCACTATTAATTACTCTTTTTAGTGTGCTAGAACTTATGACTAATGTTGTAGTCTGCATCAATACTATATTATCTTTAAAGCACCTATTAGTTTTAAGAATCAATGGGAAAATGAATAAATTCTGTAAAGATATTTCTGTTGTTCAGAATTTAAATCTAAGCAAGCGGAATAATCACTTGAAACATTGTTTTGCACTGAGAACTTTATTTATACTAAACTTGAAAAAACAAAAGCTAGATGCTCTATTTTTTTTCTGAAATTTCATGTATATTTGTGTTTTATGTTTTCCTGAATAATATGTGACAAATTTTGATATTTGTATGTGTCAACCTCCTGTAAGCTGAATAAATGTGTATATACCTTTATATTTTATGAACAGAATGTGTGAACAGTTGTTTCGTATTGTGACCTTTTTTATTGAAAGAACGGCTTTTAAAAAACTTGTCAACCTCTAGCTTACACAAGTTTGCTGATTTAAATTAAGTATAGCATGACAATGAAACATTTAGTTCGTTTGAATATCAGTTGACATAAAGTGTATTATTTCACAAATAATGCTCATTGTAAATTATTCGCAGTGGCAGTTTTGACCATGCATTACTTGCTGTAAAACAAGTTAATACTTGTGCCATCCACTGTTATGTCATTTCATAAATCACACTTTTTTATATTTATGTATGTATAGGTCCAGCCAGATGTATTACATGTTTGGATTTTTATTTCTTGTCTTCATCATCCTGATCATCACTTGCTCGGAAACAACTGTGTTACTATGTTATTTCCATCTGTGTGCTGAGGTTAGCCATTTGTTTATTTGCCATTCAGGTGTATTAGTAGGATATTTTATACTGAAAATTTAGCTATAAGTGTGACATTACCTGTATATCATGCATAGAGCTACTTGTAACCCAATCAGAAACATTTTTAAAAACAAACCATATACCGTGTTTACTTCTTAACTGCAGTTTTTAGCCTATTTCAGCTCTCATAAGCCATGCTAGGTTGATGATAAAGCATTTTATTCACAGAAGTTTTGTATGTATTTAGTTGTGGGGGTTCAACTAGCTATAGATTTTTTATGCTACACATACACCTATACTTTCATAATGACAGAATTGTTTAACTATCTAGCTTTCAGTTAGATTTATCATCTGGGTTTTTGCTGTCATTGTAATGTTGTAGTGTGGAACAGTTTCACATGTATTTAGATAACAAATGTAATGTTGTAGTGTGGAACAGTTTCACATGTATTTAGATAACAAATGTAATGTTGTAGTGTGGAACAGTTTCACATGTATTTAGATAACAAATGTAATGTTGTGGTGTGGAACAGTTTCACATGTATTTAGATAACAAATGTAATGTTGTGGTGTGGAACAGTTTCACATGTATTTAGATAACAAATGTAATGTTGTGGTGTGGAACAGTTTCACATGTAT